ATTGCTGTTTTCAAAACTATGAGTTTTGACTGTCCTGGAACTAGCTTTATAGACCAGGTTGGCCTTGAACTTACAGAGATCCACCTGCCTCTGCCTCCCAAGTACTGGGATTAAAGGCGTGAGCCACCACACCTGACTGGTATAGTGTGTTATAGATGATTATTATGTACTCTTTTATATGCCTGAAATTTCCTTGCACCATAATTATATTTAGGGTGAAAACCTACTTTAGGGTGATGAAAGACAGTCAAGTTTAAGAGCACGTACCGCTCTTGCTGCTCTTGCAGAAGACTTGATTTTAGTTCCCAGCACCCAGGTTTGGTGGCTCACAAACACCCGTACCTCAGCTCTGGGGGTAGGGTGCTCTCTTCTGGCTTCTGTAGCATCTGCACTCACATGCATATTCCTCCCTCCCCCCCCACATGCACACACACACACACACACACACCAAACCTGCAAAACAAGGAAAGCAAAGTTAATAAAAGGCTTACATAAATGCCATCCCTTATTCCTGTACCTACTCATCAGGCCAAAGGCTTTCTCACTTGCTTCCCGTTGTTTCAGGGATGATACATTTTCAGACACTCTGAGCCAAAAAGCTGATAGTGAAGCCAGCAGCGGGCCAGTCACTGAAGACAAGTCTTCATCCAAGGACATGAACTCTCCAACTGACCGCCATTCTGACAGCTATTTAGCCAGGTAAGTGACATTCGGTCATCAGCTCCTAACCCCCCTCCTTCAGGGGCTATGAGGAACAATCATAGACTCAACCTTGAAGTATTACCCAGTGTCATAAGATTTTTCTCTTTTCTTTTCTCCTTCGGCGAATGTCTAGGCAAAGAAAAAGAGGAGAGCCACCCCCTCCAGGAAGACGTCCTGGCAGGACCAGTGATGGCCATTGTCCCCTTCATCCCCCACATGCTCTTTCCAACTCCTCAATTGATCTGGGGTCCCCAAACCTAGCTAGTCACCCCAGGGGCCTGTTGCAAAATCGTGGCCTCAATAATGACAGCCCTGAGCGACGGCGACGGCCGGGCCATGGCAGCCTGACCAACATCAGCCGCCATGACTCCCTCAAGAAGATTGATAGCCCTCCTATCAGGAGGTCGACGTCATCAGGGCAATACACAGGCTTCAATGACCACAAGCCACTGGACCCAGAAACAATTGCTCAGGTATGGTGCTTTTAACTGGATGTTGTATTTTAAGTGTTCGGCTATGGTGAAGACTATATGAAAGATTTAAGATCTGTAAACTATATTTTCATATGGGAATAGCCAGAGAAAACAAAGGAAATAGTCTCATGGACTAACGCTTGGCCACGAATCTCCTGATGATCCATTTGCCGCCGGAAGATTGATTCTAGGCATATTAGATTCATATTGATTAAGTAGATGTGTCAGAAATGGAGAAGCCAGCACATTCATACGCATCAGTGGTGAATAGCCAGGAAAATAAGGAATGAAGAAGGACCTGCTAATAGAGCCCAATGGTTCTAAAGCTTGCAAAACAGATTTTATAAAAGGGCAGAAAGCCCAGAAACAAAATAAATTATTTATTAAAACCAAAGATGACACTTTCAACTTGGCAACTGATAGATTAGTCAATAAATAATGTAATTAATAATGGTTAACCGTTTAAAGACCCAGAATGCTGGGTCCTATGTGCCTCTTGTCTTGCCTTCCCAGCACTGACTCTATAGAGGGGCTCTGTCTTTCGTCTCTGATGATCAGAATTGAAAAAGCAGAGGTAAACAGTGTGGACGAGTTTGCCCAATCCACCATCTGAGCCTCTGCTTCAGATACTGTCTGTGTCTAGCAGCAGAGACAGTGAGTAGATCTGTGCTGGACAGTGATCTCAGCTGTGCCCCAGCTCTCTGAAGCTTTAGCACAGTGGACCAAGAGGAGAGCGAATGAGAAGCGAAGAAGAAAATGGATTAGTCAAAAAAAAAAAAAAAAATGTCGCCCAGGAATCCTTGTGCCCCATTCCCGAAACATTCTGCATGTCCTAGAGATAAATAGTCCTGGGTGGCAGGGTGGGCTATGTGAGTAGTTTAATGGATTTGTAAACAAGTAAATGAACTTGAGGTATAGAGCAGTTTCTCAGCCAAAATCAAAAAGGCTTTGACCTTTTAGTTTTTCTATTTCAAGGGTTATGCAAGGCTTTTTGAGACCTTTTAGAATTCGTTCCATTTGATTGTAGCCAAAAGTCATGACTTGAGAAAGCCTGAACGTCGCTGCTGTAATAAGGAGGTGAAATGTGATTTGTTTGGAGACAGATTTAGAAAAAGGTTAAAAGACATAAACTGTTTAACCCTTTCGCTACCAGAACCAGGAATGCCTTTTATTATAAATCATAAAGATGAAAGTCAACAGATAATCCAGCTTCTATCCATTCTGTCTGGTGCAAATAATTGGTTCTCACGTTTTTATCCCTCTGTTGCACGGTAAAGTGGGTCACATAGGAAGACAATTGTCTGAAATGTGAGCTTCATGTCACCCTCATCAAAATGGCTTCTAGCTCTCTCCTTTGTCTATCCATCTCCAGCCTTCAAAAATTCCCGCACAACCAAAAGAGCATGTCATAGTGATATTCATACAAAACCATGCAAGTCCTGTTATTAGCAAGTCAGTGGGGTCCTTGAGTAGAGGAAGAGTATGCTGTCCACAGATGTCATCATACCATGATTGGCTTTACTCTTTATTGGATACTATACTTTAATATCATGTCCCTGCTTATTTATATAGCAAATGCTTAGTGGCTATGCCAGCATCTGTGAAAGGCTTTCTTTGTTTTCTTTCTTTGTTTTTTGTTTTGTTTTGATTTTTTGAGACAGGGTTTCTCTGTAGCTTTGGTGCCTGTCCTGGAACTAGCTCTGTAGACCAGGCTGGCTCGAATTCACAGATTCGCCTGTTTCTACCTCCTGAGTGCTGGGATTAAAGGCTGCGGCACCCCTGCCAGGCTATGAAAGGCCTTCTTGAACAGGTTAGATGCCACTGTTTTCTCAGGGTGCTGGTAATGCAGCAGGGGTCAAGGACAAGTGACACTGTGGGGGAGTAAGGATTGTGGTCCAGGCACATGGCAGAAGTCCCAGGGATAAAGGGAGGAACATAGCCATTTTTTCATCAACACTGCCTGTTTTGAACTTTTAGTTTAAATAAAAGTCATACATTTTGCTATCTTAACCATTTTTAGGTGTGGCTATTTCAATAGAGGCTATTTCTGTTGTCAAGAAATGACTCTCCAGAACTTCACACAAGTGATGGAACTTTCTATTCATTAGACAACAGTCCCCAAGTCCTCCTTCCCACAGCACTTGGAATCCACCACCCTACTTTCCATCCCTGTGGATCTGACTACTCCACAACCTCGTTTGTGTAGAATCAGACAATATTTACATTTTCGTGACTGGTTCATTCCATATACCACAAGGTCCTCAAGGTACATACATGCTGTTTCATTTGCCAAGATTCCTTTCAATTCTGAATGGTACTCCATTTTTTATGAATATTTAATTTTACAAGCATTATTATCTTAATGATAAAAGCATGTATTATCTTATCAGTTCTTCAATGAGGCACACTTTGCCCTTTGAAATTTGTACAATTCTCCCTTTATATCTGAACTGGATTAATGATATGTTTGATAGCATAAGTGATAAATATAAGGAAATCAGTATTTTTTTAAAAATTAAATTCATTTAATTGTTTTATTTATCAATATAATGACTTTACATATTTATAGGATGCAGTATAATAATTTGGTAAACATATGTGTAACTAATTATGAACTATAGTTGCCCTGCTGTGCTGTTGAGCACTAGAGCTACTTCGTATGAATGTTAGTTAATAACTATGCAAAAAGATTTAAGTGTTGTTATACCGCATGTAGACTTTCCATCAATTCAGCGGTTAATAGTGGGCGTTGGCATGGCAGTGCCGATTTCGTTAGCTTACATACTCTGCGAAAGATGCTCCTCCCGGAGCTGTGATTTTCTCAAGGATGGGCAGCCCTTGTTGCAGTTGAAGGGCGATTCACATAATGATAGCCCTAGAGAATTTTACCACCATGCAAAAAGTATTTCATGTTTCTATATTGTCAGCCTAAATGACAATCAGAGACGTTCTTCAGGGAACAAAGGTGTTTATTTGGGAATGGCAGGGACATTGCTTGGGAATAGACAGGGGGCAGTTTGAAGAAGTGGAGACACAGAAGCATTCTAAAGCTGGAGGAGGACTGCACTATTTTGAAAGAGTAGTCCTTGACTAGAAGGACTAATAAATAACAAGACTGGCATCCATCCAAGGCTGGAAGACAGACAGTTGCTAGGCAGATGTCCATGCTGGAGCGACGTCCTTGCAGAAGTAATTTCCATGTAAGAGTGCAGTAGCCTTTGTCAAGGTTCTAGGTCTGGCAGGGTTTTTGAGCGGAGTTCTGCTTTCTCTTCTTCAATTGAGCACACATGCATATACTTATTTAAGCATGACAAGTATACTCCATATTGATCCTCAAATTTTTCATAATATGAGAAAGATGATAAAATAGGAAAGTAGAGTTACCTGTCAGTTATCCCTGCACCCCCCAAAGAGAGGAAACCATGATAAAGAATAGCCAGCCCTAATCCATCCAACTGGAATGACCAAGGACGTTTACTGAAGTACTTACTCATCAGGGGAGTGGCAGGAACTCTATAGATTTTTAAGTCTAAAGCCAAGACAGCGTTACAGAAGGCAAGTGAGGCTCACTGCCTCTCCAGCTCTGTCTTAGTGTTATCTTTCTGTGATGAAACACCATAATGAAAAGCAACCTGGGGAGGAAAGAGTTTATCTTATGCTACAGCTTATAGTCCAACATCCTGGGAAGTCAGGGCAAGAACTCAAGTGGCAGGACCCAGCACAGCGGCCCTGGCAGAGTGCTGTTCACTTGCTTGCTGCACCTGCCTAGGGCTGTACACCCGCCTGGACAGACTGCTCCTCCATCAATTACTGTTTAAGGCAATGCAGCGCGAGCTTTCCCACAGGCCAGGCCAGTGGAGGTGTTTTCTCAACTGCGGTTCCCTCTTCCACAATTACTCTAGCCTGGGTCAAGTTGATAAAAACTAGCCAACACACATTCTATCTCTCCTGGCAATGGGTTCAGAGCAGAGATGGAATTCTCATGAGAGAAGGGAAGTTGATGTGAGTAGCACTGGTCCTGCAGATGACTGCCTGGGAGAGAGGCATGGTCCTTACAGCCTCCAGCATGGTAGGGAGAATTTCCCAGAATTCATAGAGCCATACTGGCACAGAATAGAAGTTGTGACATAGTCACAAGGACCAGCTCCAGTTTTGAACTGGACCCTCCTGCTAACGCCCGCTGACCACACAGTAGCTCCCTTTCTGCGTCTCTACTACTGTCTACTGTGTTCACCCAACTGGCTGCTGCACCATACCCCTGGCTGCTCAAAGCCGAGGACCAGTAGACAGCAAGGCAGCAGCCTGACGTCCTCATTAGTCCGCTCCACATGCAGCATACAGGACACACACATATGCCACACTGGTCTATAGACAACCAGGCACAGTTCTGCTTCCCAGCCCCTGCGAGAACCAAGCCCAATAACCAGGTGGCAGCCCAGCCTACCAAAAGGTCAGGCAGACAGCTTCAGCCACAGTGCTTGCATATGCCTGGGTAGTGCCCGCCCCCAGTGAAACTGTCATACCAGTGTAGTATAGACACCTACATCCTGGACCAATGATGCCATCATGGACATCTCTGACAAGGATGACAGATGGTGTACACAGGAGTCAGGCTACTGAGTCCATCTAGAATCCAGGGTAACAACATCCAACAACAGGCGTTAGGCCTCTCTGAAGTGAGTAAGTAACCTATAAAATTTGGAAATGTAAATATTGCAATAGCTGTAGAAATATTAACAAAGAAACCAACAAAATATGAAGAAAATAGGTTTTCTCACAGTAACACTGGTTAGCAGATGCCCCCCTCAAAAGGAAATTTACAGCCTTGAAAACAAACTCAAAATAATGTTACAATTGAGAACAAGAGAAGACAAAGAATTCAGAAAACATGGCCTTTCATGGCCTAAATGATAAAACTCAACAAAGAGATAGAAATCCTGAAACGAAGCCCAAACAAAAATCTTACACCTCACGAATTCAGTAAGTAGAATTTATATGTATAATTTGAGAACCACAACACAAGACTACACTGGAGTCCCAGAATAAATTCCAGGAATTCAAGATGGGGATTCTGAATGAACCCAGTCAAGGCAAAACAACAAACAGAAAATAATGATAAATTTTTAAAAAGTAAATTAAGCCAAGTGGTGGTGGCACACGCCATTAATCCCAGCACTTGGGAAGCAGAAGCAGGTGGATTTCTGTGAGTTCAAGGCCAGCCAGGCTTGTCTATAAAAACTAGTTCCAGGACAGTTAGGACTGTTATATAGAGTAACCCTGTCATAAAAAAAAAGTAAATTACTAGGTTTTCTGCCTCCCCTAATAAGTTTCTAAGCCAATGATGCAGAAAGACAGATCAAGCCAAATTGAAGAAGTATATATAACAACAGGTTTATTGGAGCAACTCCCCGTGGGTTCTCTGGTCCCAGAGATTGGAGCCAGAGGCATTGCTCCCCAAATGAAAGTAGGGAGATTTTATGGATTGTTGGCAAGGGATGATTACGGTCCACCACAAGCTGGGTTTGTGCCCGAGTAAGGTAAAAATTGAACAGTTAAGCAGGGAATTGGGCGACTGGGAACTTCATGGGAGGCAGCTGCTGCCAAGAATTGGGTTTGGGAACTGGGCCTTTTGTGCCCTCCCTTTGTCCAGAGACTCAGAGTGGGTAGGTTTTGGAGAGAGAGACAGAGACTAGAACGGGGCTTTCTGGATCATGCGGGGGCAAGCTGGAGGTTCCTAATAGTGCCACACCCTATGGGAGCCATTTTCTTCCAAACTACCACAAATATTTAATATTAAATGTTTAAATATCATTAATTAGAAAATAATTTGAATGCCCCAACACAAAGAAGCAATAAGCGTATGAGACAGTGGATATACATCATAACCTAGACTGGTCACAGTACACACACAGTACACAGTAATGTGTATATAAACATAGCCTACACTGGTCACTACACACACACACGTGTGTGATGTATATATATAAACATAGCCTACACTGGTCACTATACACACGTGTGTGTGATGTGTATATAAACATCACACAGAACTCCCTAAATATGTGCACATTTCTGGCTAATTTTTTTATATTTTAATAATTCTGGTAATTATAAACAGGGTTTTGACTCTTACTTATATCTCAAGAGGGTCTGGGGAGAAGGCGCATTTGGTAAAGTTCTTGATGCACAACCATGAGGAAGGATGTTCCATTCCCAGAACCAACAGTAAAAACCAGAGTGCAGTGCTGTGCGCTTGTAAACCGGCCCTGAGGAGGAAGAGACGAGCAGACCCCTGGGTCTGCTGGCCAGGCAGTGAGTTCCGGCATAGTGAGGCACTCCTTACTCAAAAGAAAAAGGTTAGCACCTGATGACAGACACCGGAAGTTGACCTCGGGCCTGCACGTGCACACAAGTGCATGTGCACACACACACACACACAAGATGGAATAGAATTCCAATCAATACCGCACAAGTTATAAGAGACCTCAATAGGTTGCCTGCTACCTCAGAATGACAATTGCTTGATCTATGGCTCCATGTGCATGGCTTCTAAGTATCATTTAAAATCAAACCCAATGCACAAGGTGATGGTGCATACACTCTATGGACAGACTGTAAAGTTCAAATATGTTTGTTCTTTACTGGTCTATTCATTTTGTTCCTATAATTACAAGCCTATCTTTCCCTCTATCGTTTTTCCCAATAGGATATCGAAGAGACTATGAACACTGCTTTGAACGAACTCCGGGAACTAGAAAGACAGAGCACGGTGAAGCATGCCCCCGATGTTGTGCTGGACACCTTGGAGCAAGTGAAAAACTCACCCACCCCTGCAACCTCCATGGAATCTCTAAGCCCCCTGCACAACGTCGCCCTCAGGAGCTCGGAGCCTCAGATTCGCCGGAGCACGAGCTCATCCAGTGATACAATGAGTACTTTCAAGCCGATGGTGGCGCCCAGGATGGGCGTGCAGCTGAAGCCCCCAGCCCTTAGGCCAAAGCCTGCTGTTCTTCCAAAAACAAACCCTACTGTAGGGCCCGCTGCACCTTCCCAGGGTCCCACAGACAAGTCTTGCACGATGTAGAAACCAAGGTCCTGAGGGGAGGGAGTCTGAAGATGAAGATGGATTAGTGACAGTAGTCCGTGACGTTCCTCAGTCTTGCGCCTATAACTGGAGATCTTTTTGACTTTTCTATGTCGTCGAATGTAATGGTGTCGGGGACTAGCTACATTAACATGGGCATTTGTATTTTGTAACCTTTTTTAATAACTGGACATATGTCATTTTAAAGACAATAGAAACTCTCAGACTTACTTGAAAATCCAGTGCTGCAGCCCTTGTCACGAAGGCGACACCTTGCCCCCTGATGGCTTTGGATTGTGTGGCCCAGGTGAGTGGCCTGCGAGAAAGAGAACCCGAGTTCCAGGTCTTACTGGAGTATCACCCGCCATGGTCTGTGACACGTGCGGGAAGAGCCATTGTCTAGAAACCAACACCGAGCATCCAGAGTGGGGTCCAGCACCTGTTAAAAGTCACAGAGGGGGCTTCAGTGAGACTTTCAGTCCATGGCTTGCAGGGAGTCCATGATGGCCCCTTCCATAAATGTCATTTCCCTGGATCTGGGTTAAGAACTCAATGGAAGAAGGTAGGAAAACCTCAGCTATTGCTTGAACTGAACCTGAAAGGCAGAGGAGACAGTGTCTCCAGAGCTGTTGGCATTGCTCCCTCCGAGAACGCGATCAGGCCCTGGAGATGTCCAAGTCCACCACCTCCACTTGCAAAGGACTAGAGCAGTTGAATATTGAGGACTTTGCGGTTACAGCACAAACTCCTACGAAGTTGTTCGATAACTGCCTGAGAAATATTTCTCCCTTCCTTCAAACCCCATGCTCTCCTTTATGGCAATGGAAATAGACAGACAGGAAATTGATTCACGGATGTTGTGACCCAATTACCTTGCTTCCTTTAGGCCACAGAGGCCAGATGGTCCCAAATCCTGAACTCCCAGCTCTGATGCCCACATCTCTTTGAGCCAAGCCAGATCTGGCTACGGTACTGAGTGAGAGCCCTGCCGGGCCACCATGGGAAGATGACCCTGTGGTGCCAGGATGGCCTCTTCCCAGTTTTGTACCTCAGAATCATGACTTCTGTTCTTGTCCTATTCGTGTTTGGTTTGTTATTTTGGATTTTTGCCTGTGACCTCTACAGAACTCATCTAGTCAAATGGACACCGTTAGGAACTTCTTTCCTGGCATTTTAGCGCATAGCCATTTTTTTCTTTTTCATGTATTCACTATATTTTTCCTCTAGCTTAAAAAAGAAAATGGCAGATTGTGTGTTTGTTTAGTACTGGGATTGAACCGGAGGCCTCTTGCATGCTAAACACACACTTTACCACCAAGTTCTATCCACCCCCACGCCCAGATTGTCCTGAACACAACTGTTTTTACTAAGGTACAGATCGCCCCTTTGGACACACCATCAATCACCTTTTAGGTTTAATCTCAGACTGGCGTGCCCACCTCAGAGTGGTACGGTGTTGACGATAATTCACGCAGGAACCAAGTAAGAGCTGTACTAAAGTCAAGATCATGAGTGACCGCTACCTCAGTTTGCCGACCTAATCATTCCTTTGCAGAAAAACAATGTGGATGAAATAGTCCCTTTCCAAGTCACCCTCCTCATCTCACAACCACCCCTAGGTACTTCCCGGGATGGTAAGGTTTTAAACCTCACAATTGCCAGTGGTGGTGGTGGTGGTGGTGCACACCTTTAAATCCAGTACTCGGAGGCAGCAGAGACAGGCAGATCTCTTGAGTTCAAAGCCAGCCTGGTCTACAGGATGAATTATTCCAGGACAGCCAGAACTACACAGAGAAAAATAATTCAAAAAATTTAGAACCATTCTTTTTGGCCATTTTGTAAAAGAAACCATAGAGACCCAGCCAGGATTGAGGTTTGCTGGACACTGAGCCTTTTAAACATCCCACCTCTAGTTTCCTTGGGAGTTCATCGTCTCCTCAGTGAACCCGCCATTTACTAGAAATCAATATCAATTTTTCAAACCATGTTTCTTCTTTGCTGGACGATGCTAACAGAAGGCGTAAGAAGCTAGGCTTTAGGAGCTATTTGTAAATACCTTTCTTGCCCAGCGGTGGTGGCGCACGCCTTTAATCCCAGCACTTGGGAGGCAGAGGCAGGCGGATCTCTGTGAGTTCGAGACCAGCCTGGTCTACAAGAGCTAGTTCCAGGACAGGCTCCAAAACCACAGAGAAACCCTGTCTCGAAAAACAAAACAAAACAAACAAACAAAAAAAAACATGAATACCTTTCTTAAACTTGAATTTTAGTTTTCCCCATCTTCCTCCTCCAAACAGCTCTCTGGCAATCCTCTCCGCCCACCCCACCCCTGCTGCAACCCCACTGCTGCCTTCTGTGCGTCCATCTATGCCTTTCTGCCCCCCTAGGTCAGGCCTTTGCTGCCTTGAAAGAGAAAGGACATGCTTTTGTAAGTCCCTTGGGATCTCAGGCCTGGGCCTCCAGGGAATGGCTCCTAGTTCCCTCCCATCCTTCACTTGCCTTTTCCTCCCTCTTCTCTCCTGTAGTCCCAGTGACGGTTCCAGATGTCCCCAGAGAAGCAATCACCTTTCCTTCCTTTGCCTAGTGATGGACCAACAGTTTTACAGCTTTACATTTGGCGTGGGCACCCTTGGAGCCATGCACAGAATAGTTTAAGATAAGATGTCCCCTGCACGGAGGATCCTAAACAGTCACTAGAGCTGACTAAAGGCTGTAGCAGCTGAGACAGGTCGCCCTGGCAGGGTTCAAGGTGGAGCGCACAGAGGAAAGGGACAAGGAAAGGAAGGAAATGCATGGACCCTGAGGTCCTCCGTCCTCTCCAGACCTTAGTGACCATATGCAGTTCAGGGAGGGGGTCGTTGGATGAGCAGATTGTAGTCTACAACACTGCCTGACTCCACGTACACAAAATAGCCATAGTTGTTAGGACTGTGTGCTTTGTCCCGTCCGTACAACCCTGGTGCCGATTTACAAAGCCCTCTGGTGTAAGTTGGGGTTTGAGTGATGGATTGTTAGAAACCGAGTGCACATTTTTTAAAGAGTGTCCCAATAAAATGTCAAACTGTTGAGGACACTCTGGAGCTCAAGTTCTTGCTGCAGGTCAGCATCACTGTTCACCAGTCTTACTTGTGTTCACAAAACATAAACTAACTGTGGTGCTCCGGGAGCCATCCGTGGAATACTTCACAGTGAGGTCCCACTTATTCTGCTACCATAGTCATGAATGGACAAAGAACTCCCAAGGGTCAGATGGTCTCTGAGTTTTCTATATACATTTGCCATTCCCAAAAAGGCTTTTTGATTTAATTAAGAAGGGGGAAAGAGAGTTGGGTTGGTGGAGGTGGTCTCGGCATTTAGGAGTGGCTCAGCCTCTGATGTCTACAAACTGAAGGAACCATGATCTGACATCTGAGATCCAACAGTAAAGAGACTGTCCATCCATTGAGATCTCAGATTTGGGTTGCTCCTTATTCCTGACCACAACAGCAAAGACCATAAATGCAGGAAATGCATTTGGGATACCATCTCCACTCTGCCACTGAGACCCCGGGACACAGAGAGCCCAGAGCTGAGAGCTCTACCCATGTACAAATAGAACCTTCCTATTTCAGACCCCCCCCCCCCCGAGCTGAAAGCCCCCCTCAAGCTCCAGCTGGGCTGGAGTACCAGGCTTGCATTGGGATGACTTCACACAGATAGTAAAGCCAGAGACTAAGCCTAGCTTTCGCTCATCCTCCTATACTTTATTTAAAAAAGAAAATGTCTCAGTGGTATAATCAAAATGGGTACCTGTACCTTTAAATTATATAGGGAATTTTGTATGTTTAAATAATTGTACTGGGCTCCATAATGCTTACCTTAGAAACTAGTAAAAGAGAACTCTAGAAACTGCGCATCTGTGAATGCTCCTTCCGAGCGTGCTCATCTAAGTTCGTGTGTAGTGTGATGGTTGCTGTAGATACTTATCGTGTAGTAGATGGCCCTCTTAACAGGAGACTGCTCTTCCCCTGCGTTCCTACTGGTGACTCCTGCCCACGAAATTGAAATCAGTATTGTCCTTTGCTGTCGGTTTGGTCAGTTGCAGTACTGGTTGCTTCCTGCTTGTGACAGTGACCTACCCGTGTCAATGTACATCTGCAGTATGTACATGTGAAAGTGCCTTCCTATCTTAGAGGAGTTTAGCCTTGCTCTTGTACTGTCGCCCACGGTGTCCCGCGCGCCCGAGAACTCCGGCTCCTTCCACTTGCTCCCGCCGCTCCACCAGCCCCACTTCCGTTTCTTCCTGCGCCTCAGTGCTCAGTCGTGTGCGTCTTGCATCCATGTGGATTATCAGACTGTCTCGTTACCCTCATAGACGTGACCGTGCCTTTCTCGCCCCTCAGTGACTCCCTGCCACCGGTCCCATGCGTCCTACTGTGTCCCATTCACACTGCTACCTGCCATCCCGTCCCTGGCTCTATACTGACTCTCCAATGCATCCCCCCCCCCCCTCCGAGGTGAAGAGAAGAGGGTGCTTTTACAGTCCTGGAAGAAAAGAAAATGTTTTGTTAATCTGTCGTGACAACGCACTTTTCTGTATAGTACTATACTTCTTGGCATGTACCATTACAGGCTTCAGTATACAGTCGGGTTTGTTCTTCGAGGTGTAGCTTTATAATAAATACGATAGTTCTGGCCGCCTTTGTCTGCTTGCCATTTGCTGTGACTCTGAAGTGTCTGTGTGGTGATACGGTGGCCCGGAGAGGGACCTTGGCGGGCCAAGGGGCCACAGGGATGGGTAGGAGAAGGGGGGGGGGGCAGAAGTACAGAGAGAAGAAGAGGAAAGGAAGAAGAGAGAGAAGTAGGCAGAGTTCTGCCTTTTAAAGGTGCAGGGTACTGCCCGCCCTGCACGGGGGTGATGCACTCTGTGGGGTCCTCAAGGCACAGGGACAGGGGTAGCTGGGTGCTTACAGTAAGTTCCTTTTTCACTCTGTTCCCCAGAGATGTATTTAATGGGTTCCATTGAAAATGGGAAGCTTCAAGCTTTTTCTGTTTTGTTTGAAATACGTTCACACATGCAGCCCTGGCTGTTCCTGGAACTTACTATGTAGAACAGGCTGGCTTCAACTCCCAGAGATCTATCTCCCTCTGCCAAGATTAAAGGCAAGCACCACCCATGCCTGGCTCTCTTAAAAGGTTTTTGCTTCATTTTCATTTTTGGTCATGCATTTGAAAGCGAGGCCTCCTATACACAGGCTCATCCGAGAAGCTGCGGTTTTTCAAAGTCAATGGCTTGGGGACACCTGTGTAGGGGAAAAACAGGCATTGAGTCCAGTCCTCACAAATTCCTTCCTACTGTAAATCCTGTCAAGCTAATATTCATTTCATTTTATTATACCGAAGTAGAATTTTCATTACTGACTGTTTAGATTTGCTCATGTATCAACACTTTAATATCAAGCACAAAAGCTAACTCTTCAGTTCAAACTGAACCAGTCATATATCAGATTTAAAACTGTTAAATCTGCTTTTAAAATAACATCAGCGAAACCGGGGGTAGTAGCGCATGCCTTTAATCCCAGCACTCGGGAGGTAGAGGCAGGCGGATCTCTGTGAGTTCAAGACCAGCCTGGTCTACAAGAGCTAGCTCCGGGACAGGCTCCAAAACCACAGAGAAACCCTGTCTCGAAAAAACTAAAAAAAAAAAAAAATCAGCGAGGTGGTGGTGGTGCACGCCTTTAATACCAACACTCAGGAGGCAGAGGCATGCAGATCTCTGTGAGTTCAAGCCCATCCTAGCCTACAGAGGGAGTTCCAGGATGGCTAGCCAGAGCTACACAGAGAAACCCTGTCTCAGAAAACAGACATAATTAAAATTAATTTTTGATTGAAGTATGAAATATGTACAGAAAAAAGTATAAAATATATACAGAAAAGGGTCCCAATCATTAGTGTAATCCATTCTCGCCCCTCCCCCTCCCATCTCCCTTAATGTGCACAGGCAAGCGTGCACATCCCTTTCTTACTTGCCTTGATGTACTAAATCTTGCCTGAGTCTTGCTGTTGTTCGGGCTGAATGGCAGGAAACAGGGATTTTCCGCGGGCATCTTCAGCTCGACAGAACCCCCAAACTATTATCCTTCATTACGAGCATACCCTCCCCTTTACCCAAGCTCTGTGCTTCTCATTTACCTCAACTATCACGGTGGCCCAGATAGACGTCTTGCACCCATCAGCCCTCCTTTGGAGCAGTTGCCTCTGTGGAGCCTTGAGTACAAGCCTCAGTACCCCTCCAAATAGGATGTCTATGGCAGGTGAGGATCTGAGGGTAAAAAAATTAACTCAAGTACATTACTGCTACATGTGCTTCCTTCCTTTTTCATGAAGAAGCAAAGAAGAGGAGGAGGGGGAAGAAGTAGAATACAGAGTGTTCTCCATGAGGTTTCTAGTCTTTCTAGGCATAGTTGGAAATTTTCATAGTTGGTAAGGACAATGATAATATGCATATCAAAATCACAACGAGGGCACGTAGAACCTGACAAAGCTGTGCTTCAGAACAGGTGGCACCACCAGGAAAGACCCAGCATCCAAGGGGAAATACCTGATGTTCCACACCATTAGATAAAGTAACTAAACATCCCTGAATCCTGGATTCCCCCAATCCCCTCTTCCAGTCTCTTTTGTGATAACCAACTTTGGGGGACACCCAGATTTGTTTGTTAGCAAAGGTGGAGCACGCTACCCTCAGTGAATTTTCCAAAAGACAAGTGTTCCCGCAGCTCTGCAAAATGGATTGCTCCATGTGGACGTGGACTTAACAATTCCCGTGGATCTGCCCATTGGTCTGTCATCTGTACATTTGCTCTAAGGTCTTGTGGGCTGCAACATCTCCACTTCTTTTGTTTAGTGAATGCAGCATGTATATATCTCTCTAGGCAATGAATAATTTTTTTTAAATTAATGGCCAATAATCCATTGATGGCAAGCTGAGAACTAGCTTGGCCATCTTGCAGATGAAGTGTATATGATTTTAAAATATCTCATCTACAGTGAAACAGAAGAGTAATATAAAAATCTGTAGTAGTTAGTATGACATGATGTGGTTAAGTGTGTCTAAAAGTTGCAGGTTTGATGTAGAAAAGGAAAGGAGTCTTAATTTAAAATGTTAGTTTTATCTATCAACCTTTGATTAATAGACTGTGTATCGATGAAGTATTATTAGAATTTACCTAGTTAGTGGTGTGCATCTGTAAGGACCAAGGCCGCAGATGAAGTAGACCTGATAAGTTAAATTTGTAATCAAGGCAATAACAAACCATTTTAGCTATGAGAAGGCAGTATCTTCATAGAAGAACAATTGTCAGAAATAGATAAGGAGATTGTCTGATAACTTATACATTACAGGGTTGTGGGCAGACTCTACAATGAATCATTTTTTTAAAGTTAGTCCAGTCCTTTGGGCTATAGTTCAACAAGGCAGGCAGAAAGGTGATGTAGGGGGTGGAAGTCTTTCATGGTTGCTTTTTGCTAAGGGGCAAAGTTGGAAGTCCTGTCTTGAAGGCTGGAACACTGGAACACGGTGGAAGAGCAGGCTGTCTCAGGCTCCCTGAGACTTGCAGGCAGCTTCGGAGCCACCTGTTTCTGGAGAATGCAATAGAACCTCCTGGGATGAGAACTGGAGGGCAAAGCTGGAGAGCAGGGCGGAGCTGCTACACGGCAGCCTTGGCCAGAGGAAGAGCAATCTGCAACACTTTAAGTGATTATAAATCTGGCGGAATAAATACATGCTAATGGAAGAACATGAAGTTAAGGAACCTTAGAGAGGAAACTTTATCTCTTAGGTTCAGTTTTGGCAGATGAGAGAAAGGCATTTTAGCCCAGGGAGAGAGGGAAAATTTCCCTCCCCTGTAACCAGGAGCAGGAATAGCTTGATCCGTAAAGAGAGAAAGGCAGATTTTCAATGTAGCATTAGGAAGAAAAGCTGTAGGAATACTCTATGACATACTGAGAAATCATCATTTGAGGTTTTTAAAGCAGTTGAAATAAGTCTGTCCATGCAGTTCTGCACAACAGGTTGCTCCATGTGGACGTATACACTTCCTGTGGATCTGCCTATTGGTCTCTCAGCTGTGAACTCACTGTAGAGTCTTGTGGGCTCCAACAGGGCATCCACTGTAGAGTCTTGTGGGCTCCAACAGTTGCCTACACCTTGTTCATCTTTCTAGACAAAACAAAGTTAAGTCATTGGAAACACATGTATGCAAACTCTTTTTAGCATGTTACATGATAATAGCTAACATATACTGAGAGTCAAACCCACTCTACTGGTTGATTTATTTAATTCGCACAAGAAAGCCCCCCCCCCCCGAAATTACCTGGCGCGAGTGAGAAGGAAACCCGGAACACGCAACTAACCCGCTTAGGAGTTTATTAGAGGGAGTGTGTACAGGCCTGGGAAGCCAATGCGCAGAGACAGAGGAAGATGGTGCGTCCAGCTTTTAAAAGCTGCCTAGCACATGCGCAAGGGGGTTGATGTGGCTACGTCATACGTAGATGATGGGACTCACACATGCACACACTCTCCAGTTGCTTCCTCCAGGCTTCCAGTGAACCTCTTTCCTTCAATCCTGCCTCTTTTCTGGGCATAAAGTCTGAACAAAACACATGATCCTTGGACTCATGAAGTAAAAAGCACAAACCAAGCCAACAACTAGATCAGCAAGCCCGTGTTCCGTCTCATGACTGCTGTAGGAACCAAAGCCCAAAGTGAACAGAGAAACACAATTAGACCATCTGGGAGGAAGAGTCTAGATGGGACCACTTGAACGTCACTTCTGAAGTGGTCGAATGTGAACTAATAGCTACATAATAAGAAGAACCTAGACATATAAAAAGTCAAAGACTCAGGCAAAGGAGATGGTGCACATAAATACAGTAGCACGCTCACACCAATGCCGTGCCAACGCTCACACCAGTGCTGTACCATGCTCACACCAATGCCGTACCAACGCTCACACCAACACCATGCCATGCTCACACAAATGCTATACCATGACCACACTAATGCCATAGCACGCTCACACCAATGCCATGCCACACTCACACATATACCATAGCACACTCACACAAATGCTATACCACGCTCACATCAATGCCATCAGAGAGGTCACTGGTAGCCACAGAGGGAGCAGGATATGCTGAAGAACAGGTAAAGCCACAAGCCACATGGCAGAATGTAGATTGATTTAAGTTGTAAGACCTAGTTAGTAATAAGCCTGAGCTATCGACTGAGCATTTATAAATAATATAACCCTCAATGTGGTAATTTGGAAGCAGCTGCTGGGATGAACAAACCCCGCCCACAGTTCTACTTGGAGAAGGAGCTGCTGTAATCTAGTTTGTTAGAGTGGGAGAGAGCACGTGACTATGATACTCTCGAAAGCACAGGCAGTCCCAGGGATGGGAAATGATCAAGCCACAGCCATGGAACACAGACAGTACAGGCTGAGGTTGGAAGGAAGTAGTTAGACTTTAGGGAATAGGAAGCAAACAGGTTGTCTGCTTCCTCTTGGAAGAGATGCAGTCTAGATTAGTATAGCCTGAAACAAAACTGTACTTTAGCGTACTCAAGACTCGTCTGTCATATCTGGGAACAGCTTTCTGCCTGAGTAGTATAGAAGATTTGTCAAACACCAGAAACTCTTTCAGAAGACA